TGTAGCCTGTTAACACTGATAGAGGGAATATGCGATGTTGTTAAGTCAGTATAAGAGGAGGAAAGTGATTAATGGCTAGAGGATGATAAGGGAAATTGGTTGAATTCCGTGAGTTTATTTTGCATCATTTTATTATTTTAAAGTTATTTTAAAGTACATGTTTCTAGAAACAGCTGTATGGGCTGTTAAATGCATAATGTTCTCAACTGTCTTATTCAACCTGCCAGGTCTGTTCATAGTTTAGTATTTCATTTTGCAGAACAGAATGTTGCTTCTCTGACTTATTTTAATAGTTATAATATAGTGTATTGTTGTTGACCCTGCCAGTCCCGTGACCTATCTACAGTCACGGTTGCTTCTAAAGTGACGTCACTTCCGCCCTTACCATGCCCACACCTCCTGTCTTCCTTTCCCACACATATCATGGACGTCACCCCTCTCACTTCCTCCCTTGCTGTCATTTCCTTCCCCGCCCCTGTCATGGCTGCCTCCATCATGAGGCCTACCCCTATTATGCTCGTCCCATTTAGAGACATGTTGTTTTCCTTACACTCTACATATTATGAACTGAAACATTATAATTACTAAAACAATCATGTCATTTGTTTCCCTGTATCAGAAATTTGTCCGTGATAAAAAAAAAAAAAAAAAGAAGGTTGCTAAAATGTAATTTGCAAATGTGGTGTGACCTACATATGAAATCTGTTGGACACGAATATAAGAACATAACAGCTGATTATCCAGATTAATCTTGCAACAAGGGAAATAGCCAAATAATGCAAGTTATTTTAAACATTGTATCTTTGCTTAATCGAATCTTGCTAGTTACAGATCGTATGTTTACAGTAACATCCTTTACGTTAAATGATGGTTTAGCATTAGAAGGGTTTGTGACATGTTTTATTAACCCAGCCACTACTGGTTATTCATTTTAGTTACAGGGTGGTATAATTGTTATAGTCTAATTAATATAAATGATAGTACCGCAATAGTTAATGTTTTATCCAAAGACATATAGAAACTTTACTTCACTTACTATTAACCATTATTTATAATGATAGACATGTTCAGACTGCAAAAAGCTATGGCTAATGACATAGAAAGGGGTTTGAGTCAGTAACACAGCCCATACTGAGGAGAGCAAACCCGCTGATGCTTAATGCCCCTGCCATGGCAGTGTCTACAGGGGGGCCACTAGCCACTGTAACTTTACCTATTGAAGGTCACCCTACTGCTTTCCTGGTTTCCTGGTTAACACAGGTGCATCCCGCAGTGTTCCTAGAGAACAAGACCTGCCTGACTCATCGTTCCTGCCTGACACCGATGTCTCTTGTGTTGGTGCTGATGTCCTATCCCGCCTCCAAGCATCCATCACCCTCACTGCAGACGGCCACGTTCAATTAAATACACATTTGTCACGAAAAGACACTACAGTTCTTTGTTCCCTTCCCATTTTACTGTGGAGATGATCTACCCACAACAGAACAATGCTCAATTCATCTTCTTTACTATCTAGCAGAACAAGGATGTGAAGCTTCACGTCTCAAGCTGCAATTCTGCCAACCTACTGTTATCTTCCTTGGCCATTGTCTGTCTCAGGGAACCAGACATCTCACTCGTGACCGAGTTAGAGCAGTACTGGACATTCCACCTCCAAGGACCTCAAAGTCACTACACGCCTTCCTAGGCCTCATTTCCTATTGCCGAGCATGGATCCCAGAAGCCTCGCTCCTTATGCAACCTCTTTATGATGCTCTCAAGTCAGACCCATTTTGCTTGTCCACAGAAGCCCTTGACAACTTCTGTTCTCTCAAACGTGCTATTGCTTCTGCTCCTGCTCTTGGCCTACCAGACTATACCAAACCCTTCAAATTGTTTGTTTCTGAAAGACAAGGCCATGCAACAGGAGTGCTCACTCAGGCCCATGGTCCTGGAGGCCGCCAAAGGCCTATTGGATTTTTCTCCTGCCAACTGGATATTGTGGCCAGAGGATGTCCCTCTTGCCTTCGGGCCGTCTTTGCTGCCAGAGAGCTCATTGAAAGAACTGGAGATCTTGTCCTTGGCCACCCCCTGGTTGTCTTGGCCCCCCATGACATTTCTGCCATAGTCAACCAGGTCCAACTTAAGCATGTTACTCCTGCTAGGCATCTTCGCCTTCAATGTCATCTTTTGTTGCCTGACAACATTACCCTCCAAAGATGTCAAGTTCTCAATCCGTCCACTCTTCTGCCACTCCCTGAGGGGGGTGTATACTACGGATTCATCATGGACGAACTGTATACTACGGATTCATCATGGACGAAACTTATGTTTTTCTTCTCACTGGCACCATCAAGAAGGAAATGCATCCCAACCTATCCTTTCATGATGGACAAGCACTCCTTCATGACGGAGCAGGATATGCCTTCTGTACCATGTGGTACAAATCAAACATCACTCCTGAACCCTGCTATGAAGATGAACTCTATCATCTGGTCGAAGTAAAACTCACTGCACAAGACTTCTACTGTGATTCTGAAGGCAACAGTATGGTCTTGATTCATCTACCTCCGGAACTCAAGCATTTGTACCGTCATTGGGACACTGCCATTCCACATGTCCCTGTGACCAAGTTGAAAACAATATCATGGAATGATCTTGGGCCTATGGCAAAAGCATGGGCCACTATGGACGAATCACAGCTACAGGAAAATGGTGTTGTCAAATATCCAACAACTGACCACCTAAAAGCATGGCCACGTCATTTCCTGGAAAATGAGTTCCAAGATTTAACCATAGTGAATGACTACGACCCAAATACACCTCATGACTGTTTTGAACAGATGAAAATGGAAACAACACATCTACCAACTGTGCATGAAGACCCATTGGTAGATCCCGATCTCACCCTGTTTGTGGACGGCTCAAGATATGCTGATGAAGAAGGAAGATACCATACAGGATATGCCGTAACCACAACAGATGAAATTGTCAAATCATCATCTTTACCATCAACAATGTCTGCACAAGAAGCTGAATTGCAAGCCCTGACTTCATCATGCAAGATCTCTGAAGGAAAGCGCGCCAATATCTACACGGATTCAAGATATGCACTGGGCGTGGCTCACGACTTCAGATTAATTTGGAAAACAAGAGGATTTCTTACTACCGCCGGTACACCAATCAAGCATGGTTCCGCAATCAAGGAGCTGATGGACGCCCTCCTACTCCCAGAAGAAGTGGCTATTTTGAAGATAAAAGCACATGGGAAGTTGGACTCAGATGAAGCAAAGGGCCACCATCTAGCTGATCAAGCTGCAAAACAAGCTGCAAGAGAACTACAGGAAGTGGACAGAAGTGTGTCCGGAAACGAAGAAACTCCCACATTTACCTTGCAGACACTTCCAACTGATCTAAAAATCCTGCGGGAACAACAGGCTACAGTTGCCCCTGAAGAAATACAGAAGTGGAAACAGAAAGGGGCAGTTCTGAAGGATGGAGTGTACTCCAACAACCTCAATTTCTGCCTCCCTAAGAATTTGTACCCAGCAGTCGTACAATGGGCACACAGACCTGCACATTTATCAAAAGATCTAATGAATGCTCTTGTACAAAAATACTACCTCATTGTCCCCATATGAGATTCTATTTGGGACTGCACCTAGGCTAGGTTGCTATTTTCCCCAACAACTACAACTTCAAACTGATGTTTTAGTAGATTATGTAACTGAACTCGCAAATGCTTTGAACAAAATCCATGCCCAAGTTTTCTCTTCAATTCCAGATCCTGATTCTGACACAGGCAACCACAGTCTGCTCCCCGGTGACTGGGTTCTGGTCAAGAAATTTGTGCGAAAACACACCCTGGAACCAAGATTTGACGGACCGTTCCAAGTTCTCCTGATCTCCCCTACCTCTGTCAAATTGGCCGGAAGGCCTAACTGGATCCACGCTTCCCACTGCAAGAAGACACCTGCCCCAGAGGAAGCTAACTCTATGCAACCATGTGCCTCTGGTACATTATCTCCTTAGTTGGCCTCCTTAAAGCCCAGCAGGTGGCCATCACCAAAGATGCTAGTGGGTACACTTTCTGGTATAATTCATCATGTACCCATGTGGCTACATTCACTTTTGATTACTGTGATAATGTAGAGTGCCCATTCCCTAAGTCACAGATTCAAGCCATTTATAAAGATATACCACAAGCAAAAGACCCTTACGTTTGTGTAGTAGATGAACAATGGGGTTATGACTGTAACTACTGGGGGGCTGCGGGATGGAATACTGGGCCTGCCTGGGGTTATAAACCCAAAAGTGCTTTATCTAAGATAGACAATCAGGGTAGATCCCTCCTTCAAAGAATGACTTTAAGAAAGCCTGGAGGAAGTACCCCTATGAAATTAATGTTAAATATTGAACATCCTGGCCCCGAGGATGCAGACCGATATGTAATGGGAATGTATTGGAAGAAAGGTTCCTACAACAAATTAGGTCATTTCTACCTCAGAGATATGTCCCACTCTCCAGAGTGGCAAGGGGCTGATCATATGGTCCCACATATCCAGTCCTTTAAAGATATGATGGCCATCGCTAACCCCACTTTTGAAGATACCATGGCCGCTGAAACTGGATTCAATGACATTAATCTGTGGTTAGAATGGATGAGGTATAATGCTAACAAACATAATAAAACAGCATGTTATGTATGTGGCGGTGCCCGACCCCACCTTGGCACCGTCCCCCTAACTCTCCCTTTAGAGATAGAAGATTGCTTCTTAAGCCTTTTTGCCTACCAATATGACTTTAATAGGTCCCTCTGCATGGCATGGACGGCAGAATACCCTCTCTTAGTTGAAAATGTTAAGCCACCAGATGGAATCACAGTCTATAGAGGTAATTACACTTGTTATGCCATGTATGACGGGATTGGTAAATTCATGGGTAATTTTTCTAAAGGTTATTGCGCCACTTACAGAACTGTTCCTATACGCCTGTTGCAACACCATACCAGGTCATTGGGGGATATTTACTGGTTATGTGGGGATCTACAGTTAAGATCTAGGCTGGAAACTGAGTGGTGGGGTGAGTGTACCCTGGCCAAAGTTATCATGCCCATTCATATTATTTCTGATAATCATCATGACACATACGACCCTCCACATACATCAGCCAGAGTAAGGCGCGAAACCCCAGTAAAAGGCAGTTTTGACCCCCACATTTACATAGATGCCATTGGGGTGCCTAGGGGGGTACCTAATGAATTTAAAGCTAGAGATGAAGTAGCTGCAGGTTTTGAATCACTTTTTACCATAGTCACTGCCAACAAAAACCTTAATTGGATTAATTATATCTATTACAACCAACAGCGCTTCATGAACTACACCAGGGATGCCCTCCAGGGCTTGGCCGAGCAATTACAGGCCACATCCCAAATGACCTTCCAGAACAGACTGGCCTTAGACATTATCTTAGCCGAAAAAGGGGGAGTCTGTAAAATACTTCCTGACACTATGACTTGTTGCACTTACATTCCAGAAAACACAGGTCCTAATGGTAAAGTCACTCTGGCCATAGCTAAATTAAATAGACTCTCAGAAGAGTTAAAGAGAAACTCTGGAGTTACTGATCCCTGGGAAAAATGGTTTGGTTGGATGACTGGTTGGCAGAGAGCTTTAGTCCAGATTGGTATTGCCTTACTAATTTTTCTTTTTATTCTCGCTCTTCTCATTTGTTGTGTCCTCCCATGCCTAAGGAAATTCCTGCAGAAAACTGTAAACCAAGCAACACCAACCTTCACTCATCTGACAATCGATGATCAAGACCTCATCTCACCCTGTATTCCGCTACAAACTCTCCCGTATACTGATGAAGTGCAGAAAGTCTAGGAAGGGACAGTACAGGGACAGCATCCGTCTTTATGGGTAGACTGCCGTACGGAGAAGTAGTGGATAAGCCACTATGGGTTACCAGCGGAGTGAAGAGTGTTCCTGAACCGTACTGACGGATGTGCTGCAGCCTGTTAGGGTCAAGAGAGGGATAGACTTGCACTTTGCATTAACACTAAGTCAGCGGTCATGGGGTTTCTGTGTCTTTGGGCTAATACTTCTTCTGATACTAACAAATAAAGTTTTGTCTTTTAGCAAATAACATTTTAGGGGGGACTGTTGTAGAATTATTAGGCCTCTATAAATTTGTAAGGCCCCTTTAAATCCTCTTGCTATACCTCTAAGAGGCCCCCATAGTTTTACAAGGAAGCTTTGTCTATAGAACATAGAATTTGCATGTCAGCAAGAAATAGCTTTGATAAAATGTGTATTTACTAAAATCCTTGAAACTTAACCTTGAGAAACTAACAAGTGCCAGCTACGCTCCAAATGGATAGCTGCCAAAAGGCCCCTCCCGTCGAGTGAGCTCCTCATTTTAACAAAATGGCGCTAAGACCTGTAGGAGTTAAGAAATTACGTAGATAGTGACCTAAGAATGGGGAGGGCATTTTACTAACATCTTAGCACCTAAGCCAATTAACAATGTCTATTTGTCTATATCTTGATTTTCTTCAATGATGTAATAATGCCTTTATAAGGGTCTGCGCACCCATTTTCTGTCAGAAGCCATTAAACTTCTCTGGAGTTCTTTCATTAACCTGAACTTTGTGTCTCAGTGTGAATTTACTTCTGCGTGCACGCAACTTTATTATCTTTAATTTGGACAGGAACAGATAGTCATTCAAACTAATTGGTTTGCAGTAAATTATATACGACATCATCATTCTCAGTTATTTCTACTGCAATCTTATTTTCACCCTTATCAGACTCTATCTCTTACATGTCATTCATCTCCTGTGAATTCTCTTCTACTGGACCTTTACAAAACACGGAGGAAGATTGTGATGTTTACATATTCATTCTTTTCTCCAACGTTGGCTACATGCACCGGCTCAATCATAAAACTCATGCTTAAGATAAATATAAACTCTCCTTCGCTGCTCCTACCTAAGAAAATTAAGTGCTGTTTTAAGGGCTCAGTCTTGTAGTCTTGAATTTCAACTGCCAGTAGAATAGATATACCAACATCAAATGTTTCAATGTTTCAAATTTCAGCAAAATGCATATTGCTAATTCCTTAAAATAAAATTGAGATAAATTATTTTGTGTTCGCAATCACTTATTTAAAGCAGGCTAGGTATGGTACTGTTACATTTGGAATAAAGAAAATCTTGGAGACAAAAGAGGCAATAGTTATCCGAAAACATTTAGAAAGCCGCAACTGAATGGATAAGAATATAGTTAGTGCAGGACAAATTTCAATAACCCCCAGTTATTTAAAAGAAAACTCAAATTGTTGGAAAAAATGCAATTTGTCAAAGAGTGGAGTTATAGAAGTGAAGAAAATGTAACCAAAAGTTCAAGGAGATATTGTACAGAGGGCAAGAAAGAGAACAGGTTCATAGTATTAAAGGGACACGCCAGACCCCTTAAGCACACTAGTTTTTTTCTCCTGGTATTTGCAGATTTTCCTTGTGAAAATCTTCTGGTATCCTGTTTGACATTTTTCTGAGTAGGAATTTTAAACTTAGGCATTAAGCTAGGTTCTAATCCATGTTTGTATTGTATATTGTATTTAAAAATGGACCAATGTTTTTTGTTTGTTTTTTTAGTTCCCATCTTTCTTGCATGGGCATTGTATTGGTTAATGAAAACAAAACAATGTTTTGCTATTTTCTTTCATTTCTTCTTTAGTTTTTGTATTAGAAAAGAGATCTTATCAATATATGTTTTTATAAATTTTTCATTCTCTAATTTTTGTATATCGTATCAGAACCTTTTCCTATCAATTTTTTATTATTTGAGATTGATGTTCAAATACTTTAAAACTGGTAGAATTGCTTCTTAATCCAGTAATTTCCCCAGGTGACATATTAGAAAGCCAAGAAGGATGATTCAGATTAGTGTTATTTATAGTTGTATTGCAATCTGTTGGTTTAATACATTTTGTTGTTTGTATTATACTTGAATAGTTAAATCTAAAAAGTTTGTAGATTTCTCACTAATTTCAGAACTAAAGTGGAAATTGTAACTATAATGATTGATACTCTCAAAAAGCTGTTTTAAAATGCTAATGTTACCTTTCCAAATAATTAAAATGTCGTCTATGCAGCGTCTTCATAGTACGAGGCTAACTCCGAGCTGCAAGCTCAATCATATAAACAAGGATTCCCAATGAGCCACATACATGCTTGCAAAGCTCGGTGCGAAACTTGTCCCCCATGGTTACACCACACATCTGCAAATACTTTTTTTCATCAAAGTAAAAAAAAAATCTTGGTTACATCAAAACTAATAGAACTTAATGAAAAAACATTGTAAAATGCTTAATTCATTAAATTTAATGAAAACATTCTAAAAGACTTCCAATGGAGGCGGATCAGGTGGCAGAGAAGAAGCTGTCTTGGCCCTGGTTTGCAAGTATATAAAGGGTTGAAGTAAAAGCAAATTTAAGTAAAGTGGGGTGTCATCTTAATGACTTCCCTGAAACAATGGAATATAAAACGAATAATATGTTTTGTTTCCCTATAGTATCCCTTTACGTTTGGTAATAATGACATCTAGAACTCGAAGTGTATTTGAAAACTGGTGGAAGCTAAATGTAACTTATAATTTGATATTTAAAGTTAGTGTTGGTCATTTAGTTTTCTTTTAATTTGTTTATATTGATTATTTATCTCAGATGAGCTAGTGGTTTCACACTCAGGAAGCCCCCAAAACAATTGCACTTTGGCGTTCGGCCCAGGAGGGATGAGCAAAGCCTGGTGGCTTAGCAGGGTAGCAATAAGGGAGGTGGGCACTTAGCGGCAATAGATTGCTTGGTGGTGATCCAATTAAATAGTCCAATATCTCTCCTATCCGGTCATGAGGATCACTTGGCCTACATGGCATTCTGGGGGAATGTTAGCATTGCTCTGGTCACGGCTCCCATGGAAACACACTGCGCTCTACGAGAAATCTGACCACTGAGGTACCTGATGCATGACCTGCAACTTGTACACTGCACTTAAAGGGATGCTTTCTTTGCGTATCCTCTGCTGTTTATAGCTTGAAGCTGTATGATACTCTGTCAATGCTGATATGACGGGTGCCTGTATTAAAGAATTAACAAAAAAATCATGATAATAATTTGATATTTTTAATATTTTTTATCAATAAATTGTCCCCAATTCCTTTTTTGACGAATAAACCTTAGAGTATCCAAGAGTTCTATTCAGTTTGTCTTCTCTTTTTTTAGTGTTTACTGCCAAACGGATTAGCACTGTGTTTAAAAAGGGAAAGCGAGCTGGCTTTCAAGGATGGTTGCCCTTGTGCTCTGCAACTACATGGGGGATCTAGCCTCCTGACACTCAACTACCATTGGCTATGACTGTTCTGCACTTACTAATGCTTCCCTGGTGGTGATCCAATTAAATGCAGCCAAAGTGACTACAGGTACCACTCGCTTATTTACTTCTTTAAATTAGGCGGATCTTCACCATCTTAACCACCCACAAAGTCTGAGAGACTTGAATGCCGAGTTATCTGGGCTTACCCATATTCTAAAGAGACTTTGTTCCTCTAAGATATTAAAGGAGAACGTTTACTTTTTTACATTTTAACATATACACTGCCTGATGGGATAGGACATAGTTTTCGATCATCTGAACCACTCCTAATGCTAACTTTTTGTTTGCTGGTTAATACAACCGATTACAGACAATACTTGTTTAACATTTAATGCTTCTACTACGAACATCTACTGCTCTTGAATGTGTACTAGCACTTTCTGGACGTACACAGCTCCCGCATTTTCCTATTTAATTGCGACCATCCAATTAGTTTGCCATGAGGTCCTAAATTAAAACTACACGTATATATACCAGTGGAGGAAACTGTGCTACGGCCATGTGTAGACTCCCCCTTACCTCCTTATTTTTTATTTTTTTTTGCATGGCTACTGATGGGTCATGGTTTTTCTGTCATTTGAACTACCTCTAATGCTAACTTGTATTTTAGTTTAGTTTCTCAAACACTTGCAGACAATACTTAAAATAGGAAGTACCTCAACATGAAGTACATCAATTCTAAAAAAAAATTAAAGTGTAGGTACACTGGAAACAGAGATGGGTCTGTTAATTAATGAAGACTAGACCTGTGAAGCCACAAGCACCTTGTTCAAAATAACAAATGGTTCAGTCTCTGCCTAATGATGTCTGACAGTCACAGTACCGTAGATAATTCACAGACATGATCTTACTGGTAAAAGTAATAGCTCCTAAGTTGACCCTAGAACCACAACTCTGTTACTCTACAAATTATTGGATCTGGGATGTTCCTGGGATTGGAAAGTGGCAATCACCAACTTCTTTTGGCTCTGGACATTTCTAATTTTATTATGACAGCATTTTCCTGCAGCACACTGTCATCGAACAA